TTTTTTTTTTTTGCCAACTCCCAGAAATATGAGATGTCTCATTAATCTCGCGGATATGTCTAATTCTGGATGTGCAGTGATACATAAAAGTGCTCGTGTTTGTAGCCAGCGGAACAACACTGGGTGCACGGCAGAGATTGGTGACTTTTTTTTTTTTTTTTTTTTTTTTTTCGCGGCGCTTAATGTGCAAACCGCCAGCAGCATCACTTTAACGTGAGCGGGGAGAGGCATGAAACATTTGCCAAACCCTCCTTCCTGACGCTCGAATCCTTTCGAAGGTCCCCGAGAAAGAGGTTAAACCTTCGCCCTGTTTCTTCTTCAAATTGATTTTAAGGGGCTGCTCTGAATGGAACATCCAAAAAGGCTACTCCGAGCGGAATATGCAAACTGCCAGCCAGGAGCATCCTCGCCCCTCGCAATATCGTAGATTGTGTGTGCCAGCACTTTTGGTGGTTGTTGTTGTTGTTATTACGTAAAGCCTCTTGGAAGCACCTTGGATATTTTACATTCTCCTTTCTCTGCTGGAAGCAATCAGCACGCAGGAATCCTGACGTGGGCTCCGGGACTATAGGACATTCCAGCTCGTGATCCAGCACGGTTTAATTGTGAAAAGTGTATACATTTCTGCCTTATCTATGCTTTGTTATGGGTCTGACGTGAGCCCACGTCCTCCTCCCCCCTCCCGCAATATTACGAGCAGAAATTCAGTTTAAAGTGTTACAGTATCACGGTGCGGGAACCCGTGATATTCAGGCAGCAAAATAACCTTAGTCCCCGGCTGTAAAAAGCTAATTAAGCAGAAGAGGAAAATCAAGAGAAACTCGAAAAATGTAAGTATTCCCTCTCGTTAACAACCGAGCGTTTAACTTTGGAGCCTCAGAAAGGGAAATACCAGGCTGTTCTGCCCGTTTTCGCTAAGCTTCATTTTCCACACAATGCAGAATAAAATGCTAGTTTAAAGCGGCTACGTTACCGAGGGATTTTCCATCGCTACGATCAGACTTATGTCCTTTAAATTCACGGCATGCACAAAAGAGCAACGTTTGTCCGAAACAGGCTAAATATATATATATATATATTAAAAAAAAAAAGATAGGGAAAAAAGCGTGCAAATCCCTCCTCGGAAGCTAGCGACGAGGAAGTCTGAGAGGTCTGAGTGTGTTTGAGCTCGGATTGTTTAATAGAAAGATTTATATACTAACTGTATTATTTACTTTGGGAGGGGAGGTGGCAGTATAAGGGTATGCTAATTAGTGGGAGATTTTTTTGGGGGAAGGGGTGGAATATCAATTTTTATTGCATCACCTGTCAGGAGTGTCCAATCAGCGTTGGCTTTAGGGGAATTAATTGATGAAGGTGTCTCCGGACGAGCTCACTTCACTCTGTCATTTTATTTGTAGCTAAAGCAGCGGCGGGAATAGCAGCTGCATTTCTTTTCTCTTCCTCCCTTCACATTCCATTATCATAGTTTCCAATGGAAAAGCAGGGAATGAAAGGGAACAGGTACTGATCTTCAGCAGCAACTTAGAGAAACACTTTGGCAAACCTGATTTTTAAGATTATATATTGATTGTAGCCTCACGGTATTTTTTTAATTTATTTTTTAAATTTTGTCTAAAGTTTGGCACTTCATTCACCAGGAATAACAGCCTTTGTTATATTTTATTAGCAGGATGCCTTGAGACAAATACAGCATCTGGCTGAGGATTGTGTGTGTGTGGCTTTTTCTTTTTTTTTTTTTTTCTTTTTTTTTTTTTTCCCCATATCTCTCTCTCTCTCTGCAAATGCTGGGAATAATTTAATTCACGAAATGGGAGACCTGAAGTCGGGTTTTGAAGAGGTGGATGGCGTGAGGCTCGGCTACCTCATCATTAAAGGAAAGCAAATGTTTGCACTCTCCCAGGTTTTTACAGACCTGCTCAAAAACATCCCGCGAACTACCGTGCACAAGCGAATGGATCATTTAAAAGTCAAAAAGCATCACTGCGACCTGGAGGAGTTGAGGAAACTCAAAGCCATCAACTCCATCGCTTTCCACGCCGCCAAATGCACCCTGATCTCCAGAGAGGACGTGGAAGCCCTTTACACATCCTGCAAAACCGAACGGGTCCTTAAGACGAAACGGAGGAAAATCAGCCGGGCGCTGTCAACCGCCGACCTCCGGCAGGAGCTGGCACCCCCCGACCCCTTCTCCGGCTTCTGGAAGGAGAACAAACTTTGGCTGGGGCTGAATGACTCCCCCCGGCCCCTGCTGCCCGTCCGGAGGAAAGCCCTGCGGCCGGGGGAGGCGGCGCTGCTACCGGCCTCTCATCTACCTCACATTTTTAGTAAATACACTGGCCACAGCTACCCAGAAATCGCCCGGGCGCCTTGCAAACCCCCCGTAAACTATGAAACGGCGCCGGCGGCGGGAGGCTGCGCTCCCCTCCGCGCCCGCCGCCCTCCCGCCGCCCGCCCCCCGCTCTCCGGCTCGGCTCGGCCGCGGCTCC